GGCCCTACGCTCGATCCAGAACCCTTTCCCACACACACATACATTGTGCGCAGAGACAATGCCACACAAGAGGAAAGTTCCCTTTGACGGGACTGGGTAACGAACAGACGCAGCTGCATGATATGCACCTGCGGAACGAACCGCTCGGGGTACAAGACATGGAGATGCCACGACGCCATGAAAAAGCTTGGACAGAGCGCCGAGACCGAGACATGCGAACATCAGGAGTGCAGAAACTAAGACTGCAGGACACCGAAACACCGGGACGACACCGGGACACCAAAGCACCGAGAGAAAACCTTGCTGCCATGAAGGCAACGCAAGCAAAACCCTCAACACCAAAACAGGTGAAGAAAGCGAGGTGGCCTCCGTTCCTCGTCGCCAAGGATCCGGTAAGCGTCGCTGACTTCCTGTGATGTCAAGTCTTTTAAGCCTAAAAGCCTCCAAATGAGACCGGAGCTCCGGCTCGCCTGAAACTGCTTCGTGGCTTCTGGGTTGTCCGGATTCTTGTCCGGGTGGAGAGCCTCGAAGCGAGAACCGAAGCCAACACCGAAGGCTCCTGCGCCTCATCTCTCGAGCGACAGACTAACGACTTCTTGTAGAAGGCTCGGCGTATGTCCGCCTCCGATGCCTCTCTCAGAAGGCGCTTGGCAACCATCTCACTGCCGAGATAGGCTTTGCAGCTGTAGCTTGTTCAGGCATGCTCTAGACTTAGTAGACTCTACACTCTGCAACGATGGCGGGCTTGGGGCAGCTGCGTCGCATTGAATATTTGCCATGGTTCGCGTTTGCTCTGTGTGGTGGTTTGGGCTTGCCAGCTTGCCCCCTTCCTTGACCCTGCCTCAGGCCGCACGCCTAAGACGTTGTACAGCTCTGTGTGCTGGACCTTCCTGGAAGTCGAGCCGGATGAACGGGCACGGCTTTCGCCACCCGCCTGCCCAGTCAGAGAAATCACAATCTCGCGTCCTTGCCTTGTCCGAGTCAAAGGGCCTCCTCGCAATCCTCGCACAGGACCTCATGCAATGCGCCAGGACAAATGACAAAAAGGAGGAAGAACGTCAGCTCCCAGCTTCCGCAGCTTCCTCAGGCAACGAGTACCAATCCTTCGCGGCGCGAGGCACGAGGCTCCACTCGCAGCTCAAGAGGCGGTCCTTCTCCCACTTGCGAGCATCTGAATTCCACACCTCGAGCCACTTGCCAGGGAGGTTTTGCAGGTTTCCTGTCGCTGCCTCCCTTTCCCTATGCTCGTTCCGTCCCGGCCCGTCCCGGCCCGTCACCTTCTCTCCCTTTTTCGGGGACTTTCAGCGGCTATCGCGAGGGCCTCTCCACGAGCCGTGCGCAGAATGGCCCCCGGCGTGTTCACGACGCCGCGGACGATCTGTCCTCTGGGCGTTCGTTGCATGACGGCTGATGACGGCGGCATCCGGGGACCTAATGCCTATGGCCTGACAGCTTCATCGAGCATACTGAGGTCCGGTCCACTTCCCACAACAGTTCCAGCCACGGTGCTCCCAACGCATGTGGCCAAGCCAGTGCCACAGCCCTTGGCAAAGCCCTGAGCCGCTGCGACTGCGAGATACTGCCAGACACGCGGAGGTCCCTGCGCTCCGGGCCGCGCGCCTTGATGCCTCCGCACTTGGCCCCCACGTAGGGCTGGACGACCTGAGTGAAGAACTTTTAGAAGCGAGGTCTCCGAGGCTCTGCAAAGGCTCCGGGCCAAACTCGCCAAGCCCACGCCCACGCCCCTGGCCAGAGGACTTCAAGTGCGTGAAGGGAGGAACGGAGGAAGGGAGAGGAACGGAGCTCTTTTGTAGCTCCGCGGCCCAGCGAGGCCTGGCCATGGTCTTCAGGCCACTCGCCGTGCCGGCCACGGCGTCTCGGGGCTTCCGCACGGAGAAGACGCTGCCGACAGCAGCCTACGCCCGAGACAGAAGGGAACCGGTCGTGAGTCCACTGGTCACCGGCTCATGCGCCTTCAGCATCTCCACCTCCGCCTGCTCGCGCTCCTTAAGCCCAGTTAAGCCCACTGAAGCCACGCCCCCGGTTTCTCTGCGCTTTGCTGGGCCATCACGCTTGCTGCTCCTGCAGACGCAAGGCCAGAGCCTCGTGCCTCAGAGCAGTTCACGGTCCCTTCTCCTTCTCTCGCTGCCTTCGCCCATGTGGGCCCCTGCCGGGCGGCTTGCTCGGCATCGTAAACCTCCATGTTGCGATGCAGCAATCGCTTCGGGTTCAAATCCGACTCTAAGTTCCCGGCCGCAACATCGGTAGGAAATTGCCCTGCCTTAGTGTGCATCTGATCTGATCCGGCCTGGCATGCCTCCGCTTGATGCCTCCGGGCACGTGTCACGCGCCATGGCGTCATTGTGTGAGTAATTCTCAGTTCTTGTCTGAAAGTCTTTATGGTTCAACCAAGAAGCACTCCGCTCAAGTCGGAAGTGTGAATAAGTGTCTCTCAAGGTGTCTGCATGTTTGCATGCTGGAGTGGCTGTGATGCCAAAGGGCAACTCGAACAAATACACAGCTTTCCGGAATAGTACGGCTGTGGATGCAGAGGCAGCGCGAAAACGTCTCTACAAGCCGAATACACAGCTTCAGTTGCACATGAAGAAGCGCGTGGAGTTCATGCCGCCAAGTCAAGCCAACTTGATCCACTTTTGTCCACTCACTACCGGCTCTCGGCTAAGAAGGCTTGCCGAAGCAAGTTGTACCTGATGTGCACAGCACAATCAATGCATCGACAACATGGTTGCCCCAATAGTGAAGAGAATCTTTTTCCCAATGCATGGGACAGGAGGTATGTAGGTCAGCAAATTCTATTTACAGACTGGTCACGTGGCAACCTAGCTACGATGTGGAGGTGCGCCTGCGGCACCTGTCTCCACAAAAAAGCCTCTTGAGCAGAGTCCGCAGAAGGAACACTCAGCCATGACCATTCCCGAAAGGGAATGGGGTGGCTTCACTCGTTTCTGCAGGCTCATGCAGCGGCTAAGGGACAAGTGCCAAACAGGGCAGCCGGCACAACTTCGTCATGGCCATGTGAAACCCATGCAACCTTGGAAAAGAAACGTTTGGAGCCTTACAGCTCGTCCTTGTCGCCGGTTTTCGCCTTGAGAATTGCGATCTTGTAATTTGTCTTGTCCTTGAGCTTACTCAAAGACTTCCTCGGATCAAGGTCGGTTCTTGCACATGGCACTACATGTCACATCTATGCCGTCTATGCTCTTTAAACTGAAGCCGAGCATCTTCAGATCTTCCTGCTTCTTCATTGTGGCCATGGCTTCTTCCTTTTGCTTCTCAAAGAGGTCACTGGCTGCCTTGTATTCCGCCTCCAAGTCCTCCATCTCCTGGCACGGTTCGGAGCACGCGAAGACCCTGCATGAATCTGCATGAGTCTGAAATATGAGTCTGCAGTGTCCTTTTGCATCCTGGTTTTCTCCTCCTTCATCTTGTCTGCTGCCATCTCTTTGATCTCCTAAGAGACATGAAGCAATGAAGCAACATGACGGTCCCCACAGGGCCACGAGCACAGGACCCGCTGCAAAGCTTCTCATGTCCTCCAAGTAGGCGTTGTCTTTCTTGTCACAATTCTCACCCGTGTCGGGGACACAAGGCATTTTGGCTGCACGCTTCACGAACTTGTTGAGTGCCTTGAGGTCTCGAGCGTCTTCGTACGGATCACCATCGGGGGATGTGCTCGGACTGAAATACTTCAGGGTAGGGTAGCCCTGGACGCCATACTTGCCGCACAAGTCTTTGGCCTCCAGCTCACAAACATGTCAGGTCTGGTCCGCTTCGGGCTTCTGGTGGGCTATGCGACTGTGTTCCGAGACTTCGAGTTCCAGCCCCACTCATCGATTCGAGCCTGCTCAACATGGCTAAGAATTTGCCTCGAACTGGCATGCCTAGCAGGCTTAGCCTAGCACTCTTGGGGTCCCCAGTGGTAAGAGACGGGTGACGTTGTCCAGGGTGCAGTCCACGTCCACGATGATGGCATTCGAGTCAGCTTTGTTCCATTTGGAAGCCAGCTTGTCCTCGGCAAGGCCCCCCTAGGGCAGCCGCCGCCCACCCCCCTTCATCTGCAAGAGGCAGGCTTTGAGACAGAGGAAAGCCTGCGGCTTGCGGCCTAGGGCACCCAATCAGGTTTCAGCTTCTTGCAGTGGCCTCACCATGGCGCCAGGAACTTCACGAAGGCCATCTTCCCGCTCTTCACCGGCTTCAAGACCTTTTCGTCCCAGTTCTCCGAGGTTGCCTCGAAGGCTTCCGCCGCCCCGCCGACGGCGCCGCAAGCGGCGACCGCCAGCAGCTTCCACATGACGCAAAGAGGCGCCAAAAGGGGCGCTGTCTTTTAACGAGAAAAGGCTCTCTCTTCTCCTAAGAAGCTGCGGAAGGGAGTCAAAGAGTCAAACAGCAAGGCAAGCGCGCAAGAGTTTTGGCATCCTTCCAACAACCAGCCTCTCTCTGGACGGTAGATGGCAACTTCCCTCTCCTCAACACGGAAAGGCAAAAACCCCAGTGTTGCTCTCGGCTTGCAAGCTCCTGCCACAGCTGCCGGCTGCAAGCTCCCCTGTCTTCCATCCGCACCGTCCAGACCTCGGTACTCTAGGGCCTCTAACACAACTCGCTGAGGCTGGGACACTGACCTGTCCCATCTCTGTGCGGCCGAGAACTGGCATCTCGAGACCTTTCGCGCACCTGCCATGCCAGCAGGGGAGACTAGCCTCCTGAGGTGCGTTGGAAGCACTCTCTCGGCCTTCGGAACTGCATTTTCAGACACCTGCAAGGACAGAAGCTTTCGAAAAAAGAAGAGTTTCGCACGTCATGCTCTCAGCCTCTCGGATCGGCGACAGCGGCTTGCAGCTTGGCAGCAGCTGCGCCTCCAATATGAATGTAGCGACATGTGGCCAGCCAAAGCCGGTCACCAGCATGAGAAAACCTAAGAATCCAAAGCAAACGGCCAACCTCGACTGCCGATTGGAGCGGCGAAGCGGCTTCCTGCAAGCATAGTACACAGTATTACAGCAAAAAGCTTCAGGATCACGAAAGAGAACACACTGCCACATGTGAACTTGACCTCCTGGGTAAGCGAATTCTCTTTCAGGGAACTGGCCTTGGTGCGTGACTCGTGGCTAGCCGGAGTTTGCGGGGACCGTGGGGACCCTATCCAGCCTGCCGTGGCTGAAGCGGTGTTTCATCCTGTCACAATGCAATAACCCGCGTATTAAACTGCTTCTTCGGAACGTGTCGTGGGAAAGCTGGGCCTGCATAGACGGCTTTGCTGGCGGTGTGGCAGTTTCTTCGTCCTGCAAGCACGACCACCCGCGAGGACCAACATAAACTCCAGCCTTTGTACTCTGCTCTTTGGCTGCAGATGCTGCAGAGGCAGGCCTGGCTTGCCCTAGCGGCCCTAGCGGCCCTAGCGGCCCTGAAGCCCTGGACTTGGCACCGCAACATCGCATTGCTGGCCTTGTCGATGCTTCGGACACCAGCACCGGGAGAGGGAGGTGGTGCTTTGGGACAGTGCTCCCTGTCAATTATGCAGGAAACAGGCATTTCCACCATCGCATTCCGCACCTCGGGTAGAAGCCAGCTGCGGAGGTCCTGTACGCGGCTTGCAAGCCCTCAGACTGCCAGAGCGTCTTTCTGACCTAAGCGGACGTCCTCGGAGCTCCACCAGAACGGCTTTGCGCTCCAGCCTGCCACAAAGCACTGCCACAGACTGGCAACACCTTGAAACGGAGGCACAGCCTGTGGAGGAATGATCATCACCTTACCTGCACCCAGCAGCGCAAGACATGTGATGTGCGGCTCGCTTGCAACGCTGCCTGGCAAAGACTGCCCCAATCTGCACTCTCTCCTCAGGCGAATTGCTGTCTCCAAACGCAAGATGAAGAAGTGACGCTGACAGTGGTCGACCCCAAAGGCTCGCCTGCGAGTCTGTGTTTCAAACTTGCTCCTTGGCGAAACGGGACCTGAACAGGAGATTCCTGACTCTGCAAGAGCGAGTGGTAAGAGCCTCAAAAGCCTTAATCTGTTCAAGCTGCTTTGGCTCACTGCTTAAGCTTAAACTCTTCAAGCCTTCTTGGTTAACTGCTCAAGGCCTGACGTTTGCACCACTGGCTGTTTCTTCTGGCCCTCGCAAGATGTCCGGAGCGAACTGTTGATCTGTTTCCGATAGCTGGCTCCGGGAAACACACGACCACCACCCCAGACTCGTTCAGAAAGTGCATATGCACGGAAAATGAAGAGATACATGAAATGCATGAGTGTGTGGAAGAGGGCGGGTGTGGCCGTTTCCATGTGAGCTTAATCTCGTGTCTCCGAATCCACACCCGCCAATGTTGTGAAACTGGCAGGTTTACAACCAGTTTGCCACTGCAGGCAGTATTTTTTCGCGTGTAGCCTTGACAAATTTCTTGACAATCCACTTCTCACAGTTTGACTCTTCGATCAGCTGAGTCGGGGAGAAGCCTCACTCGACAGGATCGACTTGAGCACAGGGTCCACATTGGGAACACTGCTACATGTGTCGTTGACGGACCTACGACAGCACGGAACAACTTTGCACCAAATCCGTATCTAGACATGACGCCTGAACCTGCACGCAGCGAGCCCTGGAAAAACAAAAGCGTCTGAGAGAATCCAAATCCAAAGTTCGCTGCGCCTGAGCGAGGGCTTTGGGATGCGGAAGAGCACCTGGAGATGGCCTCCGGTGAGTCCAAAGAGCTGCACCCATGCGTCCCCCTCCTCTCTTGGCCTGGCCTCCGGCTGCCTCACTGGGCTCCCTTCCCGCCGCCGGCCGAGTGCCTCCAGCGTTCGTTCAGTGCCTGCAGTTTGCGGTCCGTCTCTACGCCCCTGGCCGCCTCGCGAACACGGGGCTCCGCAGACTTGGGCCGCGAGTCTTTCCGCATCCTGCCCCAGAGAGGAAGGAAGGCCGCAGAGAATACCCGCCGCCCCGCTGCCAACCTCGAAGAAACGGTCTCCGCCAAGAAACCTGGAACCGCCTGCAGCGCTGACAAAAGGCAACGGCATCAACGTCTGTGCCGTCCGTGCCTCTGGAGTCTTCGCAGCTACCACGCTGGCACTGTCCATCCAGCGCTTCTGCGTCCGCGACGCCTGCGCTCTCGCATTTTACATTGAGTAATCATCAACCTTTGTGAATACCGATCATCTCTGCAGGGCTTGAGTTGGTTTTGCACCTCCTTTAGGATGGTTCGCATGTCAGTTGAGCTGACATCACTAATTACTCAAGAAAATCATGTCGTGCGACCCGCTTCCGTGGCCTGCATAACCTGCGGACGTGAGGACCATGCGGTCAACGAAGTGCTGCCTGGACCCTGCGCAGGCCAAGACTTGGTCTACTGATCGAACCTTCGGCAACCAAAACGAGGCGCTGACTACTCTGTAGGTCGGAACTCTCAGGCGCACAGCGTCCTCTGCAGGCTCAACTGCCGAGGCCGTGTCTATGCTGACAATCATCCAAGGTCAAGGCTCTGTCCAGGTTCAGCTCCACCATCAACAGCTGTTGGTGGATCTGATTGTGCTTCAGCACGTTCTGCAGCCGAGTTTGGAGTGGTACTCGCTGTTCTGCTTGTTGCATTCTCCATCAACAGAAGGACCTCGCAGACGCTGAGAGATCACAAACTCCAATCGCCAGACTGGCCGAGGCCGCAACGACATAAGCACATCTGAAAGTCAACTACAACAGCCGGATAAGCCGAAAGACCCAATCCTCGAGGCCAATCCTCAACACCCACACACTTACAATGCGGAACATGATTGCTGCTCCCTCTTCGGTCAACATGCGACAAAGAACATGTAAACGAAGAATTGTATCACCTAGGTTTGGCGGATCAACCAGTACAGCACCTGGCAAAGCTGACTTTCTGATTGAAACGGCTGCAGGTAGCGCCCAACATGTTGACTTTGCGTCATCCAAGACTGGCAAACACGGCAGGCCATACTGCAAATGCCCGAGTGGACAAACTAAACCTGGCGTGGACGTACAACTGCAGATTCACCAAACAAGTGCCTGCGCGCACGCACAATAGTTGGTCCGCCCTGCCCCCCCTCTTGCTTCACCCTCGACACAATTAACAACCATGCAAACACTGAGACTTCTGCAGCGGCATCTGATGAAAAACATGTGGTGCTGCCTTATCTCGCGACCTCTGCTATATGCCAACGCATTCAGGAAAGTCAGCCATCTTTTGCCAAGCGAGTGTCGTTTGAGCGGGTTCACACACGAACACTCACGGCCTAATTGCCAGGGCACGTGCACGAGGTACTGGAACTACGCGGTCTCCCAAGTCCTACATCCCCGACGGGTCTGGCACCTTGCTTCTCGCGCTTCTTGATCAACTCTGCTGACATCATGCTGAAAGCTGTTTCCACGTGCGTGGCGTCTTTGGCAGAAGTTTCGATGAAAGGTATGCCAAGTTCATCTGCTTTCTTCTGCGCCTCCTCGGTGGAAACTTGCCTGCCCGGTCTGGAAACTCAGCGCTGCCCTACGCCCTACACTCTCTGTTAGAGTCAGTGCTGCCTCTTACATGCCTGTGAGATGCCCCTGGCCCAACTCCCGCCTCTCTGCTGTCATGTCACATTTGTTCCCCAGCAAGATCTTAGAGGTACTTTCGTTCACGTATCTGCTGACCTCATTCAGCCAATCTTCCACATGAGAGAATGATTCCCGATCACATATGTCGTACACCAAGATGATGCCATCGGCGCCGCGATAGTATGCACTCGTGATGGTTCGAAACCGTTCCTGGCCAGCCGTGTCCCATATTTGCAGCTTGACTGTCTTCTGCTCCACGGGAATTGTTTTGAAGCGGAAGTCAACGCCAATGGTAGTGATGTAGCTGTCGGTAAATGCGTCGTCAGCAAAACGCAACAGCAAGCAGGACTTCCCTGTGCCAGAGTCGCCAATCAACACCAACTTGAATAGATGGTCGTAATCGCGCTTCATGCCACGCCGCAAGGCCCACTGGGGCACCGGCTGGGCACCGGGCACCCTCAAGTTCCCCAGGCCCCATATGCTTGGGCCAAAATACAGCAACACTGCCCAGACAACACTAGCTCTCAGAGCTGCTCGAAGGCCGTGTGCTGCCAAGGAGCAAACGGACACACGCCGTGCATTGCAATTGTGGCTGCGTCAGCACGAAACAGAGGGGCCTCTGTATACACACGAAAGAGGATGCCTTTGCGTGACGGCATAGACACACTCCACAGAAGCTACTTTGGATGTCCCACTACTTTGGAGGTGCTCCTTGCATTTCCATCCGTCCTTGCATTGCGACGTCCCAATCTCTGCAACGGACGCGTGCTAGCTGATCATGCAGGCATTTTTTCAATTCTTGACCATTAGCAGTAGCGGCTTCACGCACGTGCTTGAAACAAGAGAGCGGACTCTCTGGTGACACGAAACTTGGCGAAGTCGACTCCGAGCCGGGCCCCGGCCATCAGGCCATCAGCTCGTGGTCTTCCAGGACCGCGCCTTAGGGCCTTAGGGGCGCCTGCGTCGCCTTCGCTGGGCCCCACCATGCCTAGGTTGGTCACGGCACGGGTCCTTGTCGACGGTGAGGTTCTTGTCTTTGCCCACCCGCTTTCTCTCTCTTCTGTCGCGAGGCGGTTCTCCACCGATAAGAACCCATTCCTGTGCAGCAAGAAACACTGCGAGGTAGGGAACAGGAGTTTGAAACTCTACCACAGGTTGGAATTTCGGTTGCAATACAGTTCGTGTATTTTCGGGCTTGCTTCTGCAATTGGGCGGCGAATTCGGGCTCCTCTTTCCCTGCAACATACCATCTGGCGTTCGTTGGCACTGTTCGGAGTTCCTCGGGATCCAAGCAGAATTTCCGGCCAGTACCCCAGAAGAGCAGGCAGCTGTCATATTCGTAGCGGACGGAGAAGGTCTTCTCCTTCGAGCCCTGGCAGCGGACACAATGACCACACACCACGTTGTCCGAAGGCTCGCAGAATTCCATCGTGTAGGTCTCCCCCTTGGGTCCCTTCCAACTGCCCTCGAGCAAGCTAGAGACTCCACGCCAATGCTCGGCCAGACTCAGCCATTCTTCCGACCACTCCTCCTCTTCCGATTCCTCAGACTCTTCCGAAGTGACTCGCGAATTCTCCTCATGAGCCGAGTCCTTCTCGCTCTTTGTGCTTGGGCTCAATGCTGGGGTAGGGCTGGGCTGATGCTGGCCACTGGACGTGCTTGATGTCGCAGTGGCATCGGCATCGTCGTCCTCTCTGTCTCTGCCTCCCTGAGCCTCTTTCTGCTTGGTCACAGGGCTCGCCTTGGGAGTGTCCTGGGCCTGGGCCTGGGCCTGGGCCTGGGCCTGGGCCTGGGCCTGGGGGACGCTCACGAGTTCTTCGAGTGAGCCGGAGGCATCATCGAAGAGGACCTGCTTGTGGGCAGCCTCCTCCATCGCCATGTTCACATGACCATCAGCTGGACTGACGGCTTTCATCCAATCCCAGATGCCAGCACCTACAGAGCCTACAGAGGCCAGCAAACCGGCCGTGGAGGAGTCGTACTTCTTGAAGAGCTCACGAGGAGGCGCCGCAAATAAGACATCCACTTGGACGCCCGCCTTCTTGGGCCACAACCTAGCCGCGACTTTCTGCAGCACGTAGAGCCTCCGATTATCCGTTGTAAACCAGTGAGACCTCTCGTCAGGTATCGCCTGTATGGCCATTCCTACCGTTCCGATTCTCTTCTGTCCAGGGGCCCATCGGATCACTTCAATGTTTGGAAAAGGTGCCTTCAGAATCACATCGTAAGGCCCGACTCCCGCAACTTCCTGCACCAAGCCTGTCACCTCATCCAAAGCTTGGCCGTTGCAAAAGCGCGTTCGCAGGTGTTCTTGGGAGAAACGCACAGCCAGCGGTGAGATGAATTTCTCTTCATAGACTGGCATAGTTCTTCAGGGTTGTTCAAGGCGCTTGCTGAACAGAAGGCGTGCGCATCTGATGGGATAAGTCTTCAAAAAATGCTGCAGGACATGGCAAGCCTTCCTAACAATTGGCGTCCCATTGCAATGCCGACAAAACGGATCGTGCTGCGCTTCACTAAGTCCCTATGTTGAAAGTTTCATGAGATTTTCGCCGCTGTAGCCTTGGTGGCATGTACTGATGCTGGTGTTGTTGCATGGCGCACAGCGACACGAGCGTGGATTCCACTGGGCATGTCGGACATTCACAGAGGGCTCCAAACTGCAGAATGTTGCAAGCAGGATGGCTTCTGGCAGAGCAGGCGCAACCCCACGTCCCACAAGTCACGCGGCTGCCACGAATCCTTGTGCACCAGATCGATGCTCGCACTGCTCTTTCTTTCAGAAGACTACGGATCGGTCAGCTGGCGAGGCCCCTCGGTTCAAGCCGCACATACATCATACATCGATGGTCGTGAGCTTGTTGCATTATCACTTTGATAGGCTTGAGGTGGGCCACATCCGCAAGTCGGGGCCTCACTTGCGTGCTGTGCGTGCTGGACACAATTTGGGCCGCAGTTTTGGAGGTTCAACTGCTAGTGACACGCGATGATGGGCTCGGTGCGACCCAAACCACGGGGGAGAATCCACGCAGAAAGCGATCAGAAATTAGCTTCCATCATGGAACAACATGTACCCGCGAGCATGTTCGAACATCACTCACGACTCGCGGGCGGACAGCTGGACATGTAAGCCGCTTCGCGACATGTCCGCTAGACACCAACAGCTGCCGACTGCATTGAAGACGAGTCCCGGATCTGAGAAGACAACTGAAAAACTCTTGGCTTGCTGTAACTCCGCGCCTTGCAACTGGAGTATCCATGATCCGGCACTCTTCGCTCATCTTGATGCGAAGGAAACGTGAAATGAGAGACGCGTGAAGGCACGAGCCGGTAGCTGTCACACCTCTTCCAAACAAGAAGAAGGGTCTTGCGATGCACGCGACGCACCCCGTTCAGGGAAACTCCACAGAACTCGAGCCAAAGCTGATGAAGGCGACTACTGTGCGAGTTGCACTTCACAGTCCTGGGTGTATGGCGCAGCACAAGACAACTCGGAGCTAAAGCTATGGCAAGGGCTCGTCAAATCGAATTTGAGTCAATGTCACGCCGGGACATGAGGAGATTGCCGTTTGAGCCTGCGCTGCAAGGATGACTTCTTCTTGACCCCAAATGGAAAAGCCCAACCGGGCGCCTGTTTAGTCCCGCAACTTGTCCATCAAGGGCCCGTCAAGCTTCAAGTCTTCCTCGTCAATCTCGATGTCGAGGTCGCCATCGTACTGAACCTAAGGCCGAGTGGGCCGAGCGAGCGACGAAAGGGATGCAAATTGGGCAAAGTTTCAGAAATTCCGCCCGCCCGGGCCCGGACCATAACATTGATCACGTCATACACGACCTTCACTTGCGCAACGAGCTCCTGGCAGGGCATGGAGCAAGAACCCGGATTGTTTTGATTGACTAGAAGGCCGCCGCTCCTCAATCTCAGGATCGTCGAAGAGCTTCAATGTCTTGGTCCTGCATTTCTTTGTTGGGGTCGGTCGCTGCCTCAGTCAGGTGCTCGCAGCTCTCCCAGAACGTCTCTTAGGTCTTAGGTCATGGCAAGACAACACGGCGAACTGCATCTCGCTCGAAGACAGAATCCTGGCAAGCCACACGACAGCACGTCGATGCCATGTCAGAACCCGATACATGCATGGCTTCGAGAATGCATGGCTTCGAGAACATGGGAAAACACCACAGCCGGAAGCACCCCGATGCTAATGACATTCTTCCAGCTTTGGTGCTGGTAGCGGGAGTAGAAATCCTTGATCTCCTGTGCGAATGCGACCTGTTCAAGTAGCAATGTGGCAACATCATGACCTCACACGATGCCGCACATGCTTGCCTCTTGCACAGCAACCTCACCCGTGGATCATTCGGACATATGAGACCAGCATGTAGTCCCGACAATCAGAGAGCACGACCAGCCAACGGAAAAAAATAGAATCCCAAGTCTCAGATCCAGTCGTGCACGGAAACAGAAGGATTTTGGTGACGTAATTCGTGCAACAAGGAATGGCTCTGATTGCACAGGGCAGACTGGCAGATCGTCTCACAATGGACACCATCGACAAGCCGGACGCTTCTCGCATGCCCTTGTGAATGCACGCAAGCACAGATGATCACCCATGGCCTCCTCAAACTCAAAATACTCAAATCATGCAACTCCGTAACGAATACTCAGCCTTGGCCTTGTCAGGAAGGAAGAGTGCACTCGGCAGCAAAACGCAACGAAGGCCTAAAAGCCAAAAGCCTCAAGGTGTGCCTCAAATATATGTGATCTGGAAAACATACACACGCTGATGCTCGTAACAAACAGTACCCTCTGCCATGTGTGTGCTGACCACATATTCCACGTAACGAGTCGTATCCCCTGTTATGTGTAATCTAAAAATCTGCGCATGCCCATGCTCGGAACAGTTCGTACCTTCGGCAATGATCACATTCGGCCACGATGCCCGCAACAACTGGATATCGTACCCATGTGACACGTGGTCTCACAACATGCAAACACACACACACACACACAGCGCACGCAAAGAGACATATATATATATATATATATATATATGGTACCCCCCCCTCCCAAAACCCACCC